TATGCACAGTTAGATGTGATCACCTCATAGTAACAATCCTGTCAATCATCCATCCTTAGAGTGAGAGTGTAACGTTACACGTCGGCCGATCTGGTTTCGTGGTTAAAGTTAACCTTTTCGACATGTTTCCGTGTTGTTGTCGCTCAGCAATGGCATGGTCGCAATGTTGTCTGGGGTTTGGCAAAAGGAGAGTGGGACTGTGGGTGGTGACTGTGTAGTTCTGACGTCAACTTTTTACGGAAGTCACAACGGTTCGTGAAAAATAACAGCTACTTTATGCAGGCTGTGTGAATTTTACTGTGGACTGACTGTTTTGAAACGTATATGGTAGTTACATAGCACCTAGACCTCAGTTATCGTGAAAAAAGCCAGGAAATTTCAGTATTGACAATATGGGACCTTTAAATTGTACAAGAAAGTCTTAATGATGATTTCAAGAGGTTTTAAATTTGGGGAAGGAAAGACCAGATTTGCGATATGGCTGAATGTGACGATTAAACTTCAATCAAAAGGCTAACGTTATGATTTAATTGAATAAACACAAGCACTGCATGTTCAAAGTGCTGCTCGCTTTGTGTTCTGCCATTACCGGGGAAACAGTTATATTTCTACCAAACGCTCCACCTGCTGGCAGAGAATGAATGAGTATTTTCAATAAAACTGTTGTTTTGTTCAGAGTTCAGACCAAAGCGAAAATCGACCTATATTTTTACCCTGCAAAAATGCAGAGCTTTAAATGTGAACTGGTGGATCGATAAGAAGACAATGCATTATAAAAATCTAAACATAGGGGTGTGCGATATGTATGGTCTGCGATAATATCGTAATTGTTGTTTTAACAATGTGCGATTTGATATTATCAGTATTTCGCGAAAAGCAAACACAAAACACACCTACAGAGTGCACGCATACATTAGGTGATGAAGTCTAGCAGGTTAGACTAGTGCACGTGCCCATTTAGATATACTTTTTTGTCAATATCGCACACCCCTAATTTATGTTATTTAATTGATATAATAATTTATTGATAATTGTTTAAATTAATATAATAATGAATACTTTTGACTCATCCATTTTCATAACAATGGTTTAAAGGCTGAAATGTGAAGTTTATCATTTTATAAAACTTAGTTTTTTTGAAAACTTGTATCTGAACTGTGAACTGTTTTTACAGTAATTTTACAGTTTAATATGGTACTACATTGCCCTACCCCGCTCATATAGTATTAATTTATTTGTTCAGGCTTAAAAAAAGGTCTTAAAATGTCTGAAATTTGAGCTTAAAAATCCTGCAGAAACCCTGTATGTAAACAAAGCGCATATTAAACCCCGCAGCACATATGTTTTTTGAACTGAATCGTAGCCTTTGTGAATTCACAATAGCTTTATGCTTTATTATGATTTTTAAATGGATTTAATATCTCGTGCAGCCTTAAAAAACGGCTTTTCATGGTTTCTCATCCGTGGAATGCGCCACTTCCGTTATTTTGCCGTTTAATCGACACGGGCAAAATGCAGTCAAGGATTTTTTTATAATCAAGTACTCAAATTTCATAGAGGAATCGTGCCAGCCCTAGTTTATATATAAAAACATTGTAATGCCAAATAAAATAAACTACTATTAAAAATGTTGGTAATCAATATAGTTAATATTTAAAAAATGTAATTTCATGAAAATGTGATCATTTATTTGACTCTTTTGGCAAAGTTCTGCATGACAGAGGTTTACCTTTTTGTGTGATGTGTGAAAATAGTTTTGTGCTTTTTCTGCATAATGGAAATCATGGGGCCTTGCATGACGTTTGCCATGTTAAAGATAGCAAGTTGTGTGGGTTATTTATTGTTGTGTGTTAAAGTTAAAACCATTAGTATGACGGGTGTGCAGTTAATAGTTGTTCCCTCTTATTACACCCTGTATAGCGCTCTTTGTGGCCATTGAATAGATACAGCAGTTGGCAGTATTTGAAAAATACGTATTGAATGTATTATATACATATTGAAATCTGTCCACTGCCTAGCACTGCTCTTAATATTGTAGAAGTGGCACAAAGAACATGTTATTCTCTAGTTCTTTAGAAAACCGTCTTTTTATTTCTCCTTTAAAGGGGTCATATGATGCTGCTAAAAAGAACATTATTTTGTGTATTTGGTGTAATGAAATGTGTTTATGCGGTTTAAGGTTAAAAAAACACATTATTTTCCACATACTGTACATTATTGTTTCTCCTCTATGCCCCGCCTTTCTGAAATGCGTCGATTTTTACAAAGCTCATCGGTCTGAAAAAGCGAGGTGTGCCCTGATTGGCCAGCTATCCAGTGCGTTGTGATTGGCCAAATTCCAAATTCCTCAAGCGGCAACCACATGTGATGACCCCGGGCTGGACTCCGCTTCGTCCACGGTGAAAGCCGATCCGGCGACCCACAGCGCGAAGTTGAAGTATTTCCTCAGCGACCAGCACGGATCAGCTCTAGGCATGATGAAGCGATATCGTCCTCTTTTGGAAGGCCAAACAAAGTAGTTTCGATTTCACAATGAAGCACACAGCGCCTTCACAACGAACATGGCGACGGCAGCAACAATACTACAGCGAGAATAAAAGTTACGCCTTCTTTCTTTGCGTGAACATTTGGGCGGCGTTACGCAAATCTTCCCACATCGTGATGTAGACATGTGGGGGCGTGTTAGAACGAGCC